CGTGTTCCTTGCATGTACCCCTCCCTCCCCGCACTCTCACTTTATCACATTTTCTCCGTCTCTCTTTCAATTTTTAATAATACTAACGTACTGATCTATACAGTATTATGGCTGGTATGCAATTGCGGTCGCCAAAATCTTAGAAGAGAAAGGCAAATCTGAATGATATGGCTTGATTTGAATGGCTAAGTGCCACAGACAGACTGACAAACAGACAGAGAGAGGAGAGAAGAGAAAAGAAATGTACTAAAGGTTGAATAAAAAGTTAACAAAAAAGTGACTTCTCCAGAGGAAGCTAACCTAAAGTGATAATAAAAAAAGAAAGTCAGGCGATATATATATATATATATATATATATAATATATATATATATATATATATATATATATATATATATATATATAGCTGGGTGAATCCTTTATGTATACATCTCTATATGTGCATGTATACATGGCATATATATGTGCATCTACATAATATGTGTGTATACATATATGTATGTGTACATCTACTATGTATGTGTGTACATCTACCTATGTATGTGTGTACATCTACCTATATGTGTGTGTATGTGTGTACATCTACCTATGTATGTACATCTACCTATGTATGTGTGTACATCTACCTATGTATGTGTGTTACATCTACCTATGTATGTGTGTACATCTACCTATGTAACATCTACCTATGTGTACATCTACCTATGTATGTGTGTACATCTACCTATGTATGTGTTGTACATCTACCTATGTATGTGTGTACATCTACCTATGTATGTGTACATCTACCTACATCTACCTATGTGTGTGTACATCTACCTATGTATGTGTGTACATCTACCTATGTATGTGTGTACATCTACTGTACATCTACCTATGTATGTATGTGTGTCTACATCTACCTATGTATATGTGTACATCTATATGTATATGTGTACATCTACTGCTATGTATATGTGTACATCTACATGTGTACATCTACATATGTATATGTGTACATCTACATATGTATGTGTGTACATCTACATATGTATATGTGTACATCTACATATGTATGTGTACATCTACATATGTATGTGTACATCTACATATGTATGTGTACATCTACATATGTATATGTGTACATCTACATATGTACATGTACATCTACATATATGTTTACATCTATACATTTTTATATGTTTATGTATACATCTATATATGCATATATATAAATCTATATATGTATAAATCTATACAGTTGTGTATAAATCTATGTATATTACATCTATGTATAGTTGTGTATTACATCTATGTATAGTTGTGTATGCATACATCTATGTATAGTTGTGTATGCATGTATGTACAATGATGTACAGTTGTGTATGCATACATCTATGTACAGTTGTGTATGCATACATCTATGTACAGTTGTGTATGCATACATCTATGTACAGTTGTGTATGCATACATCTATGGTTGTGTATGCATACATCTATGTTGTGTATGCATACATCTATGTATAGTTGTGTATGCATACATCTATGTATAGTTGTGTATGCATACATCTATGTACAGTTGTGTATGCATACATCTATGCATGTGTATATGTATGCATACATCTATGTATAGTTTGTGTATGTGTACAGTTGTATGCATACATCTATGTACAGTTGTTATGCATACATCTATGTACAGTTGTGTATGCATACATCTATGTACAGTTGTGTATGCATACATCTATGTACAGTTGTGTATGCATACATCTATGTACAGTTGTGTATGCATATATCTATGTACAGTTGTGTATGCATACATCTATGTACATGTATGCATATATCTATGTACAGTTGTGTATGCATACATCTATGTACATGCATACATCTATGTACAGTTGTGTATGCATACATCTATGTACAGTTGTGTATGCATACATCTATGTACAGTTGTGTATGCATACATCTATGTACAGTTGTGTATGCATACATCTATGTACATGTATGCATACATCTATGTACAGTGTGTATGCATACATCTATGTACAGTTGTGTATGCATACATCTATGTACAGTTGTGTATGTATGCATGTATGGTTGTGTATGCATACATCTATGTACAGTTGTGTATGCATACATCTATGTACAGTTGTGTATGCATACATCTATGTACATATGCATATCTATGTATAGTTGTGTATGGATACGTCTATGTATAGTTGTGTATGCATATACCAACGTATAATTGTGTATGGATACATCTATGTATAGTTGTGTATCAATATATCTATATATGTACATGTATACATCTATATATGTATATATATACATCTATATGTATATATATACATCATATATGTATATATACACATTTACATGTGTATATGTATACATCTATATGTGTGTGTGTGTGTGTGTAGTGTGTGTGTGTACGTGTGTGTGTGTATGTGTACGTGTGTATGTGTACGTGTGTATGTGTGTATGTGTGTGTGTGTGTGTGTACGTGTGTGGTGTGTGTGTGTGTACTGTGTGTGTGTGTATGTGTGTGTGTGTGTACGTGTGTGTGTGTGTGTGTGTGTGTGTGTGTGTACGTGTGTGTGTGTGTATGTGTGTGTGTGTACGTGTGTGTGTGTGTGTACGTGTGTGTGTGTGTGTACGTGTGTGTGTGTGTGTGGTGTGTGTGTGCGTGCATGTACGTGTGTGCGTGTATGTACGTGTTTGTATGTACATGTGTGTGTGTGTGTGTGTGTGTGTGTGTGTGTGTGTGTGTGTGTGTGTGTGTGTGTGTGTGTTTAAAAAGGCAGGTTACATGGAATTACAGTAGTCATTCAAACAAGGTCAATAAGCCAATCCAGTTTATTTACAGCTTCAAGGTAGAAAATATAAACACTTATAAAGGAATAGCCAAGTTGAAGATCCGCTCATTTGTCAAGGTATTTTTGACCGATCAGGAACATTGTAATCTAGTTTTGAAGTATTTGAAAGAGAGGAAAATACTTATATAAAGTTTAGGATTTAAAATGGTAATACATTTTTTTTATATGATCTGTGTTATACATGACACAAACAGTACTGGGACTTGTTTACAGCAGCATCAGTGTCTGGAACAAATTAAAATCTCATGTTAGTAAGCTACAACAAAAAAATGATCTCACTTTAGATAAGGAACTATCAGCTGTACTATATGACATCAATGGCTGTCAGGAGAACGAAAGTATTAAAACATCATGTGAATGAGAATATAAGACCGTAAGTACACAAGACAAAAATTACTGGATGACAAAACAAGCAAAATTCACCTTCACACCCAGATGAAAAATCCATTGGTCTCTTCCACAGGTTTCATCAAACTTCCTCCGTGATCAAAACTAAAACTCACGGTCCAAACACCTGTCGGAGATGGATATCTAAATACATATAAAATATTTACAAACCTATTTTATGTCATTTTATATTATATCAGCAAACAAAGTTGACATCATCAACTGTCAGGAGAACGAAAGTATTTCACATCATTTACAAATGGTAAAAAAATTGGTTTAGGTGGAATATATCAGTTGCTATTTCTAGAAGGCAGTGATGCACTTAACAGGTTGGTAATGACTGGCTGAATGCAAAATATGTAAATGCCAGAACATATCTAACCTCTTCAATAAATATAAATGTATGTACAACTCATCTGAATAGAAAAAAAATTATCGACAACCTGTTAAGTACACCTTTGCCTTTCTACATACTATAAAGTATCTTATTGCAGCATGCCAAAACATTAGCACATCCTCCTCATCTCTGGACATATGACCTCAATCCTCAGCTGAAAGTATAACTCTCCCTGCCACATACACATGAATGATAGCCAGCTCCGGACTGAAGATGACAATAATGACATGCCACTTTCAGTGTCATACACTTCTCCAAGATAATTAATTATCTACTCAAAGAGAGTAATGAATCCGTCAACAATAATCAAATAGAAGCAGTAGAGGTACGTGATTTTTTTTTTTTTTTTTTTACCAAGACAATTTTTAAAATGACTAGGGAGCAATTATTTCATAGAAGAAAAAGATAGCTGAAGTGTATTTGGGTCTTCCCTCTCCCTCATAATTTGATTACTGTAGATTTTTATCTTGTCACCATTGGTAATACTAATTTGTACTAACAATATACAGAACTCTTATCATAACTGAGAAAACAGTTATATGAGTGCAGAGCAGTCCACCTGTCTTGGTATACTGATTGTATGACAGAATGCTGGCCCTCAGATCCAAGACTTTCAGCTACATCCCACATAACCAATCATAGCAGCACAATGGCTGATCACAGCAACTTGGGTTAGTAGAGGGAAGTGAAAACTTATGGAAAATGTGCTAGTATTAAGAGACCCTACGTGTAAGCATACATGTGTACAATGTTTTTAAATTTTAAAATACCTTGGCTTGAATGACTAAGACAGCTGTTGCGATGACTACATGCATGTGCCTTTGGGTACTTGCTACATCTGTGGAAGAGCATAACAATTGTGAAACCAAAACTGTTGTTACAACTTCATGTGCACTCTATTTCTTGCATATCAGTGGTCATTTTGACATCAAGCACTATCAGGAGAACGAAAGTAATAAAAACATCACATGAAAAAGAATTATGGCAGCCTGCCAAATGCTGTGTGCCAAGATCTATTTTTAGAAATACAAACTGACATTTTACCTTAAACAGCTTAATCCAAGGAAGAGCAGCTTCTTCATCAAATGTATCCCACTCCTACCATTTCAACCTGTTAAAAGCATTTAAAAATAGTAAAGCACAACAATAAACCATCAATAATATACTTATATTTCATCAGTTATTAATCAACATCAAAATGTTATCAGGAGAACGAAAGTAAAAAGCAACATCACATGAAGTAAACTTAGGAAGATAGAGTTATATGACACTTTTTTCAGTAAACAACATAAAAACATGATTGTGTATGTGGTGAAGCTTAGTAAATGTTCACAAACAAATACATACTTCCGCAGCTTATCATTCCTTGACGAGTCCGCCTTATGGTGCAGATGCTTACTGTACTATCTGTTATGGGATTTGGAAACTGATTAGACTAAAATCTCATAAAAGTTTGAATCAAATGAGCAATTAATATATTTTTTTAATCAGTAAATGTAACACATCAAAATGCTGTCAGGAGAACGAAAGTAAAGAATACATCATGTGAAAAAAGACCTGAAAAACATACTTCGCAAACTTAAAGACCTTTTGAAAATTGTTACAAAGCCCTTACCTTTTTCTTTACTTAATTATTGGGTATGGCTTGCAAAATGCAGATCCTTGTTTGCTCTATTCAAAGAAAAGAAAAAAAATGAATGGATGGGAGAACAGAAATCATGTACATATATAAACAAATTATTTTAATCAGTTAATAAATGACATCAAAATGCTGTCAGGAGAACGAAAGTATTGAAACATCATTTTAAAAAACATATGAGCAACACATGTCTAAGTCCAAATTGTCAAGCAATTCCAGCAATTAATAAATAGCAAGATGCTTACCTCATACTGCTCAATGATGGTGGGGCAAGTCTTATAACCAATGCCCTAATTCCTGTCAAAATACAAAGAACATCTTGAAACCATATTAAACACTTTTGAAGTAAAATCATATCTTGAAATCAGTTTGTATTTGACATCAACATCAGTCAGGAGAACGAAAGTAAAGAAACATCATAATGAACAAGAGGTTGTATCTCAGATCTTTTGCTTAACAAAGTAACAATTAAACAAGCCACACACTTAACTTCTCATGCAAAAATTACCTATATTTTCATCTTAAATGCATAAATACTGTACAACACTATTACACAATTCACTTTCTCCATGACAAAACTTAAAAGCCTCAAACTTCATCTTACCAAAAGGAGTAGGCCTTGTAGTATCTGGATCTCAATGGCTGCATCCTGCCAAAGATATATGGAAATGATATATGGCTAATATTCATAAAGACCGGTGATTGCAGTCTTACTTATTCAAATTCAGTGAGAGATTGACATCAAATTCTGTCAGGAGAACGAAAGTAATAGATCATCATATGAAAGCTTTGGTGAAGGATTTTTGAAATTTTTCATCTGAACTAATCTCAAATTCAAACTTTTGTTAAAGTATTCAATAGAACAGAGATAGGTTTTGAACTTTTACCCCAAGTCGAGGTCTTACTTTTACAGTTACATAAGCATCCAAGGAATTACATTAAACTAAATATCATAAAATACAAGAATATAGACAACAACAATGATCACCTATACCATGATAGTAAATATCCCCCATATTCATAACAAACAACATACCTTTAAATACATAATCCTTCTTGAACAGCCAGTCTTATGAAGATACGAACTGTAGTAGCTACCTATTGATAGATATTGGGCACAGATTAGGCTATAATTTCATACAAGGAGTTAATCAAGCTATGTTTTTACATTCAGTATATGGAAGACATCAAAAAATTGTCAGGAGAACGAAAGTAAAGATACATCATGTGGAAATAATATGATTTGGGAAGTTTTCAAAAACAGGAAAATATCAGCAAACATCTTACCCATGGACCCTTAAAATATGACTTGCAAATTGTAGATCTTGCTTTGCAGAACTTGGATTTCAACATCTGCATCCTGTCAAAAATAAAGGTAAATTACATAAGGCATCACTTCATATAAACTTTTATTTAAAGAAACATTTATCAAAAATCAGTTTAAAAATTGACATCAAAATCTGTCAGGAGAACGAAAGTAATGGAACATCATATGAAAACTGGTGAAAGAATCAATACCATGCTTCTTGTAAAAGAAATGATCAGAGCTATAAACCTTAACAAATTTTCAAATCTACATAAATAACAGGACACATCTTACCTTTTTTCGAAGAACTTAAGATACGACTTGCAAAATGTATAGCTTGCTCTGCAGACTTTGGATCTCAACACCCACATCCTGCTAAATATATGGAAATGAAATATGGCATCACTTCAAATAAAACCCTAATTAAGTATAATGTATCTAAAATCAGTTAAAAGATTGACATCAAAATCTGTCAGGAGAACGAAAGTCATGGAACATCATATGAAAAATTAAAAAATTAAGTAAATACTTCTTGTAAAGTAAAGAATGATCACACAGCAATGAATCTCATCAAAGCTTTAAAGATGTATAAAATAACAGGAAATCTCTTACCTTTTCTTTAGTGAACTTTTACAGGAAGTCTTGCAAAATGCAAATCCATATCACATCTGTTAAAATCAGAAAAAAAAAATATGAAGGAACAAAAAACAACAGTAATGCATATAATACAATTATTTTAATCAGTTAATAAAATTACATCAAATGCCTTCAGGAGAACGAAAGTAATGAAGCATCATTAAAAAATACAGAAGAGTATTAAAGTTTACATATCAAGAGTTTCAGAGATTTCAGTAATTGGTAAACCCAAATAAGCTTACCTATGTTGGCGATCAATTGTAGTCTTGTAACAAAGATTAAAAAAGCAGATGGAATCAATGTAAAAGATTTTTTCTTAGTATTAGTACATTTTAAATTCAGTTTATGATTGACATCAGTTGTCAGGAGAACGAAAGTAATGAAACATCATTTTAAGCAGGATGTACTGGCAATTTAGGCAACTACCTCAGCAGATAATTGCATGTGGTTTGCTTAACTCTTTGCACCTAAGCACCTAAATTAAGGGTTGGATAGAGTATGGGTTCACTACATACAAGTGGCTCTTTGTTAATTTACAGAGCCAGTTCCGTTACTGTCTTTGTTAGCTGTGCATCCTCATTCCCTGAAGGTTTATTCTAGTGTTGGCAAATTATCTTTGGTATAGATGCACAGCTCCTGAATCTCATGCTGTTTAGAGCACTTTGAAGAACATACTCAAGCTTTGCAAATCATCAAAACAATCCAGAGGTCTTGACACACAACTGCAACAAGCTAAGCAAGTAAAGTACATAAAACATAGTTTTCCTTTCATTTAAAATATGATTAACTGTACTTAGTAGGTAATGTTCACAATCATTTCCTTTTATATAGATATATAGGGTTATTGTACAATTCTCTAATCTTTATGAAGAATAACTCATTACAGTTCAGTCAAAAATATCTTAAAAGCCTCAGAATTATACTTACAATAAAGTTTGTCTTGCAGAATTTGGATTTCACAGCTTGCATCCTGTCAAATATATGGGAACAATATAGCGACACTCCATAAAAACTTCTAAAAGCAGTGTTATTTATTCAAAGTCAGTTAAAGGTTGACATCAAATTTTGTCAGGAGAACGAAAGTAATAAAACATCATATGTCTACTTTGACTAAAGAATCAACATTAACTTATTTACAACTGAATTCAATACAGAATTTTTGAAGGTATCCAGTCAATACTAAAAAAAAATGTTCGTCTTTTACTACAGGTAGAGGCTATACTTACAGGCTCATCAACAAGAGAGCTGATCTACATCATCTACATGAAGAAAAGAGGAGACTACCGCACCAGCCAACTCTACCAACCAACCTGCAAATAGCAATATGAAAAAACTTTCAACACCTAAGTAAACACTAATTTTGGAGTTCCATGTAACATTAGATGTGCAAAATATATTATCAACTCAAAATTACCTGAACAAGGACTCTTACCCACTTCTGGTTTTCCGCTTCATGGGACTATTTCAGATCTTGCAGTCTTGTCTATGGATGGGTTACTTCAATATTTCATTTAAATATTACTTTTGTCTATGACTAATTATAATCTAATTATCTTAATGACTTTCTCATGCAATTTTAATCTTTAGATTACATGTATTAAATCTAAAGGCACACAAATAACAAACCTGATAACTAGAATGAAAAAAAAAAGGAAATGTGAAAGCATCCTGTTAGAAATGCAAAATATCTGGGATGAAAAATCATTACACAATTACATGTTGGCAATCTTAATAAAAACTTACAATCATTTGTTTGGTTTGTTGTATCTAATTTCATTATTACCCAATTTTTAAAAGTTTATACAATCACAAAAAATAGAAAGAAAACTGCTGAAGAATCTTTGCTTATCATCTAATGACATCCTACATTGTGAATGCTTTTAGATATTTCTATATTTCATGTTTCATTTGCTTAAATGAAATCTAAAAGTAAAGAATTATTCAAAAAGGTAAACATAAGTATTGGATCTAATAAAACAAACATGATGGTACCAATTTATTAACCGATTCCTCTACAAATCCTCTAAGTGATGATGATTGATAACCATAGAACAATTAAAATATCCCATATATCATATTCTTCATATACAATCAACTTCTAATGTGTTCTGGGGCCCACCCATTCTACTACAAAGCACAGCCAAAATGGACTGTATAAAAAATATGCAGTATACTACTGGCAGAGCACTAAAGACGCCTTGCTTTGTAGTACACAGGCAGGCCCCAGCAGACCTTTTCTTGCAGAGGGGGAGGAGGTCGGGATAATCAGTGAGAGCATTTCAACAGCCACATGAATGCTGACCACTATGTCAAACAAAATGAGGCTTGCTGGCTGCCATCTGTTCCAGAGACAAATCTCATTAAAAAAATGTCCAGTATATATGGTAATACTTAAAATGGCTATATAATTATATTACACATGTATTTCTTTAAAAAAAATAAAAAGAAAAAAGGGTTTTCATATTTCTCAAAAGCATGAAAATGCTCTTAAGGAGACTATAAAAAAAATCATGTGAAAGCCTTTATTAAATTACCTTGGGTATGAATCTTCTTTAATCTCTGTCTCGTCGCTGGTCTCGGCGGTCTCTTCGTTCTCCCCAGCTGCCCTTCTCACGACGGTCACGGTACCCACCGCCCTATTAAGAAAACATTAACCATATAGGCACTATATTTTCATCGAAAGTATTATCCCCCCCAAAAAAATAAAGACAGCATAATGAAAAAAATCGGAAAAAGATTAATATTCTATTTGTCAACACCTAATAATGCTTCTTTTCAGCATTACCTGCATTCCGCGGGCGAAAAAGGGCTTCTGGTCCAAGATACGCTCATTGTTCTCCACCAAGTTATAGAGCTTATCTGCCAATTGCAGCGAGAGCGACTGCAGTGATGAGGGCTCTGTGCGATGCATCACAAGGCAGGAAGTTGGCTCATCAAGGGATGCCTGAAATAAATGTGTGAAGTCAGAAACCTTTTAGCCTTCCCTAAATATCATTCATCCACTACTGCATAACAAAAGACACATAAATGATGGGGAAAAGAGTAATCATCTCTCACCATAATTTCCTCATTGATGATCATCTTGCTAATAATGGCATGCACTGTCCCATGGAGCAGCTCAAACATCTCTGACAGCTTGATAAGGGAGATGGAGTCATACACATGAGAGTATGTGAAAAGATATGTGCGCAGGCTCTCCTCTTGGATCTTGCCTCCCAGCATGGTGCGTACACGATCAGGTTCGTGGAACAAGTCCCACACTTTAGAGTTCATCTTGTCATTCAGCAAGAGATTCCTGAAGAAACCATTTGTTAAAAGCTGTTCATAAAAACAACAAAACATTTATTTTAAACAGTGACTGAACTAATACACTACATATCCAACCAAACCAGATTTGCTGCTAGTGTACACTGTCCAGCTTGCCCACCTGCACTGCTTCCAGTTGCCATTGCGCATAGCCTTGGAGGCGGCCACTACGTGTTCCCTCATACTCTCTGGGGGGCCTACCAGAGACTGACGCTCAGAATTCTTCAGCTGATGGTGGAATGACTTGGAGATCATACGCCTACGAGCATCAAATTCATGGGCAGCCATGTAGGGGATCTCGATAAGCATGGCTGAGACCAAGTAAACACACTCCAGCATCTATGAAAAAATGAGAAAATTCTTGGTGAACCCAATACCAAATACTCATTCATATATTTACATACTGATCAACTTTTTTACCAGTAACACTTTTAATTAATAAAAGAAAAGAAAATATCAACACTGTAACACTTACCTCCAGATTAATGTGTTGATGGAAAGGAATTTGCCTCTGCTTTTCCTGCTTCTCCTGCTCGGTGGTTCGCTCATGTTGTCGCTATATAGAAACAAATTCATTAATGTTATTTCTCCATATTTACCACCTTACATTTTACACTACCAATAAACCCACATTTAAACCTCCATTTCAAATATCATATCACAAATAAGGAAAGTAATGTGAAACACTCTTTACCTGGGGAAGAAGACCCTGAGCAAGAAGTTCCTTTGCACGACCACCAGACTGGATGTCCAGGAGGGCATTGTGAGCTTCGCGGATGTTGCCGTGACGGAAGGCACACAAACCAAGCTGAACCATGGTACGATTGTACAGAATTTGGGTTGGCAAATCTGAGTGGTGGATGGTTTCCTGAAAGAAATTTGTAGAGTAAAATGATTGCAATAATATAATGCGCAACAGAAAAACCTTAAAAGAATGCCCCAGAAAAGTGTTAAATACTAGACTTACTCCTATCCAAAATGTAGTTCATTATATAAATGCTCCACATAATGATGAAATAAATATATAGGTACATTTCATATCGCCTTACCCAAAATAATAAAAGAAAACAGCTAACCAGCATCATAATGTTAGGTTACAGCAATAACCATAAACAATCATTACATGAAAAGTTTAGAATCAATATGACAAGCTAGCCATGATCATTATCATCTAAAAATGGAAAGTTCAACAAAACCAAAATTTCCAGCATACCTGTAGATGAGCCATCAACATCAGATCACGTGCTTCATACCACTTGTCATGCAGAGACATGTGGTAGATGTGACAGAGCACAGCACGTGTACGCAGACGATCTGTGTTGTCACGCACATAGATATACTTGCAGAGCCTGTCCATCTCTTCCACACTGGTGTCATCAGTCTTGGGGATCTCACCCTGAAGCAAGACATTGGTAATTGTAATTCATATACAAAAATACTCATTTATCACTGTTCCTCACTTTCATTTGATTTAATGACTGAATACTATATACAAAGCTATGGAAATATTACAAAACTCAGAAAAATAATGCAATCATAATCAAATCTTTATATACTCAAGAAAATATAAACAAAGAAACAAAGGCACATATGGACAAACTAATGACTTCTTACCACAGCCTGTTTGGCAGCACGAGGCTCATATTTATAGTAGAGATGCTCAATTTTCCTCAAATAGATGCGGCAGATGTCAGAGGGCATTCCATTCTCTTCCTCATACTTCAAAAGTTTGTCAATGATAGCACAAACACGGATCTCATCACGGAGACGAACAATATACTCATTGCTGTGAGCATCACAGGCCTTGAAAAAATAAACATTTGCTGGTTAGTCATAGGATGTATTGTTCCTAGAAGTTTAAAATTAATAGAAATCTAAATCCCTACCAAATTCCTTTCAATTAATCCCATTTTCAAGCTAGTATATGTGAAGAATATGTTCTTGTTTACCATTTGCTATACAACCCAAATAATGAATAT